TTGCTATGAGCTGTGATGCCATGGCACTCTACCCAGGGGGATAGCTTGAGGCTCTGTCTCAAAAAAAAAAAAAAAAAAGAAAGAAAGAAAAAGACTTTATTAAAAATAAAAAAGGTCATGGGGTCCATGGTTCTGAGGTATAGGCCTCCTCTGGCAAAGTGCTTGTCCTGGAGATTTCTGCACCTTGGGCAGCTGGGACAGCCGGGAAGCAAGGCTGCTATGCCTGAGTGAGGCACAGCCCAGGATGTCCAGGCTCTTTGGAGGAGGAAGGGTGGCTCTGAGAGCAGCCCAGAAGGCCCTGATGCTGCCAAGGAGCCCCAGACGAGGGACAGAGGGCCACGGGTATTGATTCTACTCTGTCCTGAGGCGAGATAGAGTGAGACCTGTCAGTGACCAACAGCAGGTGAAGATTTGAATATGAACATGAAATTTAATCCCTTTAGCTCCTGCTGTGAATTTTACATTAGGTTCTTCACATTTGTACTTAGTTGTTTTAATATTGAGAATTATGTCATATGCCTGAAAGAAAAAGTAACTTCTCTTTTAATCAATTAATCCAATGCTGGCAAGACTAGCTGTTGGCATCACAGCATCATAATTCCTGTATCATTAATCACTTTGTGTTAAAAAACTTGATTTCAGAAATTACTAATCAGTATAAAATGCACCAGCAGTCTGAGAAACAGTGGCCCCAAATGCTTAATGTAGCAGCAAGCATCCTGGAGCTCAAGGAGAACTAAACAGCTGGCTCCTGCATGCGTGTGGCCTCTGCTCTTCTAGGCACTGGGTCAAGTGAAAGTGCTCGCTCTGCTCGAGAGCAAGCAGGCTGCAGCCATGAGACTGTGTAATTAAAGACCAGGAAACAGGGAACATTCCCAGCACCGAACTTCTGCCAACTTGACTTTTTATGAACTATTCCCAAGGATGGTTGGTACATGCAATTTTTTTTTTTTAAATCTCTCTGGACATGATAAATGTTGCCAACTACTGTGTGCAACTGTGAGAATGGTCAATATGATACAGAGCAAAGACCAAGGTCTGAGAAATTTTGGTACTTGTGAATCTGTCCTTGGGAAGGCAGGGTGACCACATTTCCCATGCTGCCAATGGCCTTGTGAGGTGCTCGGCATTGCTGAGACAGCCCGGCTCTGCACAGCAGCGTCCTGAGATACACGCCCAGCTCTGCCATCGCAGCTGCCTGGCTAATACTCATGCCCCTGATGGAGAGGTGCATTCAATACTCTAAAGGGGAATGTTCCCGCTCAGAGACCAGCTGTTGCCTACAGTAGAGCTCATCAATCTTTGGGCCCCAGACAGACAGCACTGCGCACCGGGCACACTGTCTCCCTACTGTGACACACAGGGTTCCAAGAGGCAGACTTGGTTCTGACTATTGGGACCCCACCCTGGTGGCCCATCCACGTCCTTCCACCACACTCTGCATGGAACAGAAACTCACATGTCCGCCTCCACTTTTATGGGTAGTTATTAAAGATCTGTGTTGGAAGGTACGAGAGGTAAACGGAAATGACATTCAGGTACGCTGAACATGAGGTTCCAGCTCAGTGACTTTATGTTATTTTCACCCTCAGGCAACAGTGCCCATGACTGTTGTTTAGAAAACCAGATATGTTACCTTTTTTTCCTTGTCCAAAGCATTTGGAGGCATGTGTGGGAAACACCCAACATGCTTTCTTAGACACCACAGGTTTGTGGTGAAGTGGCCTTCAGAACACAACTTGAGTTAAGTACAGAAACTTCATAGGACTGACAACATCTCTTTTTGAAATAATAAAATTTGTAGATTTTAAAGCAATAAAAAATAATAATGAAATTGGTAGATTTTAAAGGTAGATTTTTTGCAAAGTAACCTTTTAGTTTCTGCTGGAAAACCTAATCCATAACCTAAAGTCTCCCCATGGACCCTGGCATGATGACACACTTCCTAAGGACTGAGTAAAGTTCCTTTGAAAGTCTAATCTCCTTCCTGAGTCATATTTTTCAGGGAAAATGAAGGGTAGGTGAGTGTCCACGGAAAGCAGCTGTTTAGGGATGAAAATCTGATTTCTGTAGAGAGAAAAAGCAGGGCGTGGGGTGGGAGAGAATCCCCTCTTAGCCTGCGCTCAGAGCCTCCCACTTATCTCCGTCTGGCTCAGAGCCAGCGATCAGATGACAGCCCTCCCCCTGGATGCAGCGGCTCTGGGCTGAGGGAGCCTGGGTGGGGCAGGCGCAGCAGCTGCGGAGGCCAGTGCAGAGGGAGTGCCCCCAAATGTCTGTGGTTGAGAGGCTGAAGCCACACCCTGACCCTTGCTGTGCCGTGCCCACCCGGCCCTGCTCTTTCAGCCCAGAATGGAGGCTGCCCTAGCAGGGGGCCGCAGGCCAGAGGAGCCCTCTGAGAGCAAAGGAGGGTCAGCAGGGACCTGGAAGTCTCTGAGTGAGAATGCTTTGACAAGGTCCCTTAAAGAGCTGAATACTCCAAATCCCCTACAGCTGCCATTTTGTAAAAAATGCAGTAAACTTGGATGTTATCAAGAGTATCTTTTGGTTTATTAAGCAGGGTCTATTTCTGTGGTGCTCGGCAGCACTAATAATTACTTAATAACACTGAAGTCCAACCTCTATGCATACTTTAATTTGTTCTTTGAGGGATTATGTTGTAAGTGGGCCAAAGAGAACTAGAAACACTTTATACACGTTTGAGGATTTCAAAAAAAATACTTATTCTTTTCTCCTTATATGTTATGTTGCCAAATTAACAATGCTGCTGATGGCTTTCCTTCCAAGGTAAATTCCCAAGAGGGACACATATACATGTGCTCTGATCTTAATGAGGTCCTCATTTATACGATAAACCAAATAAACAGCTTAATGGTATGATTTCTAGCAAAAATCAGCCCTACAAATGGCAATAGGTGGCCAGAGCCGGGAGGGGGAGGGTTCTGCTACCTGGAATTGAATGCTTTAAACAAGAGACAAAAACACAGCTTGCATCTCTTCTCCCTGGTGAGGGCAGAACACTGACTGGCACCCACCTGCCTGTGGAGCTGTCTGCCGTCCACCGTCTGCAGCCGCGAGCTGTGGTCTCCAGTGTGCACTGGAGAGTGTGGGGAATGCTCCCCCCCTGGGAAGCCACAGCCTCGATCGCCGTCATCCCGGTCTGTGCCATCTGTCTGGTGCCCCCCCTGCACTCCAAGCTCACTGGTCCTGGAGAGGGTCTCTGGGTGCTCTCCCTGAAACCAGGAGGAGATGATGATCACAGCTTCACCCAAACACTTCTGCTGTACAGCCTAACTTTTGTGATTTGTGGATAATTATCTACTTTAGGATGATCAAGTCCTGACTTCTCAGTCTTTTCTCCGGAAATGCTCATTATGGCCATTTCATTCATTGGCAACTGCTCCATTTAAGGAGCACAGGGCAGGTACTTAGTTTATCAGAAAAAATTAATACAAAGTTTTGCTAGTTATAAATTATTAGTAGTATTGCTTATAGCCATGGTGTTATAAACTGGAAGAGGAAGAACTCCAGAGTACTAATCAGCCAGAAGCTTTGCAACTCCTTCTAGGCTCTTCTATGTCACGAATACTTGGAAACTGGTTCAATTACTTTTTGGGAACTTTCTTCATCCTGTGGAAAGAGAATCACTGTACCTTCCCATTCCTAGGATGGGTTCTTAAAATTACACACACCGTTCACTAGGGTGAAAGCAGACATAAGGTCTTTGGGGGTCTGAAGAAAAACCAAGTATTCACAGTTCCTTAAGCAGCTGCCAAACAGCCAGGGGTGTGGGGCCCGGAGCACGCCACACACCAGGAGCTGCAGCCTAGGCCCACCAGGAAGCAAGGCCAGGGGAGCCGGTCACCCCACCTTCAATAAAAATTAACCAGAAAGCATATACTGTTCTGTTTATGTTACAAATCTTGGCATAAAGAGGTTAAATAGAAGAATAAATGTAAATTACAGAGGTGACCAAGTGACACATCTGAAGCTTAAAAGAGACCCTTCTAAACCTATGTGGGCAACGGGCTGTGCACATCTGGGAACACAAACTGAATGGAAAGAAGAGCAGACGTTTCAGAAGCTGCTTCTTCAAACCAGCAGGGGGATGTGATGATAAAGGGCCACAGGTGATGACTTTAGTGACAGACCAGCAGCACGCCTGCTACAGGGTGGAGCCGCAGACCAGCACTCTTGAAACTAGGTCAAGACACAGCAAGGATTTCTTGCTTTCACGTATAACTGGACAACCCATTGAATTTCTGTTGCTTGGACTGAAACTGACACAGAATGATTTAAAATAATAGGACGGGGCTTTGTGTATAGAGGAAGTGAGGGAACAGCAGTGCTTGGGGGTCAAGAAGAAAACAGATGCACATGAGATGAACGGTGCAGGCGGTCACCTCGGTCGCGTCCTCGCCTTCCTCCTCCATCTGTTTCCCCTGCCGCCAGTGTTTCAGCAGCCACCTGAGTTTGACGTAGAAGAGGAAGATGTTCTGCTTCAGCGACCTGAGCTCCTGCTGCATCAGATTCTTCTCGTCGCTCCAGGTCCGCTCCTGCAGGGTGCTCTGCAGCGCCAGGCTGTGCATCTCCAGCTCTTTCCACCTCAGGGCATAGAGGTGCTCCTCCTCCATCTTGAGTTAAATGAGAGAGAAACTGTGACAAGCAGATCTTCCAATCTGCCACCCAGACCAAACCAATGGTCCCAGCAAACCACCATTCAATCTGTGTCATGTTGCATACGGGATGTGGAACCTCTGTGTGTTTACAAACATTCACTCTTTATAAAAGTGCGTGAGTTTTGTGCTTCAGAAGCACATGCCATTTCAAAGTAAGGGACTGTGATCATTTTTCCTCGTCATGCCTTTCATGGTGTTTTTAGGTGTTTCTAAGAATCCTTTAGGAAAACAGCTGACTTGAGTTCCATTTACTAGATTCTGTCTTCTCTCTGTATGTGGACCTGGCACTCATAAATGCACATTACAGTTGTAAAGAAAAAACGTGGAAATCCTTCCCCTGGCTCCCCATGGCCCTGACAGACAGAACATACCCACTGAGGGGAGCAGGGCAGACTGGGCCAGACCTTCCAGCACACATGGTGAGCAAACAGGAAAGTAAGTTTATAACCTGTTTCCACAACTGAAGACTTAATATTCCTACTAGATATGGGTATCCTTTAGGGAAGCAAAAGCACTGCTGAAAAACAATTACCTCCCATCTCCACGCTAAGTTCCTATGATTTAGACACCACGGGTATAGGCGTTCCTCCAGCAAACAAACAACTAACCACGCAGAAGGGCGAATAAAATCTTATTTTGCAGATAAGGGCAAAGGACTAATATCTACTTAGCTAAAGTGATACAAGGGTTCAGCCTTGTGTTGCAAAGACCAATATGAAAGGGTTCAACTGCCAGCCTATGGTTATCAGCTGTCCTCTTCTATTTAACAATCTTTTCTACACCAAAGACCAAGGCAGGGATTGCTTTCCCTTAAAGGTTAATTAAAGGAAAAGTTAATTCTCAGAAACCATGGGAATGGGACGGTGGCTGCCTGGGGCCAACATGCTAAAGACCGTGACAAGTCAGAAGCAGCTCTCCTAGTACCTGACCTTTACTGTACTTTGAGCCGAAGCAACAGAACACAGGGGTGATTTTGTTCACCATCTCAGCACCCCTCAGGGCCCCACCACTGTGGACTCAAGGAAACACCAGGGGCAAGGGCAGCCTGGTGCACCAGATACTCAGCGTCTGCAGTTTGGTACTGATTAGCCCAGATGCTCCTTTTGGGGAGAAAGGTAGATTTAGGTCTAGTTAACATTTCACACTGGAGATGTATGTAACAGTCATGGGGTCTTTTGCACCATCTGATCTGAGTTAGGGACAGGACAACAAAGGAGGCAGTTAATCTAAAACAAAGATCAGTTGTTAAAAGCGAGGGGGGGTGTCTGGTTTCTACTTTCTAAAACAAGAATAATGAGGAAGAGAGTTAATCTATAATCTAAGAAACAAAATTGCAAACATGTTCCATGACTTAGTCTCTAGGACTTCGCTTCTCCTCTGACATCATAAACTGAGAGTCCTAAAATTTTACGTTCTTTTGCACATTTAAGCCAACTGACCCTCACTGGAAAGGTCTCCTCAGGGGCAGCATGAAGATAACTCCAGCTCCTTCCCGAGTTCTGCTGTGGACAGATGCTGACAGAGACACCGTGCCACACCCGGGGATGGTGTTTCAGGGCCTTTCATCTGGAGCAGCCCACCCAGGCCCTCGGGGAAAGTCTCCTCCCTGACTCTCTGCCTCCTCCTGTTCCAATGCTTCCCTCGCTCCCGAGTCTCAGAGCTCAGTCCTTTGCCCTCTTGCGTTAATGGACACCTTCTTTTTCCTCTGAACAAGCCTGGAGGACCCATTTCCACCTCCAAACCTTCAACACACTCCCTTACTATAAATTTGAGTCCTAGGAACAACTGCGACCTGCCATTTTGTTACCAACAACTCCATGCGAGATGCTCACTTTTCAAACAATTTTTGATACAATGCAAAAACATTTTTTTAAAAATTTACTTAGGAGTTTACCATTCAAGTAATATGAAATTATTTTCCTTTGATAATGATATGTGAAACTCTAAACCAAACATTTAAAAAGAGGTATGTACCTAGTGGTAGAGGCTGGCAGAAAATATTTAGACCTTGGCATTCATCTCCACCTTCTCTAAGCTGTGAGGTGCAGAAGGCACTCCCTTAATCAGTTTGTGACCCATTTAGATCACATGGCCACGGCCAACCTGGGGGTTTATGTGCTGCACACATTCCTCGCCAGAGTCAGTCTTAGATACATTCACTACCTTAACTGAACAGGATATGCATTTTAAAACACTGAGGTGCCCTACTCAAGACCAACCGCTTTGTTTGGTTTGTTTTTAAAGACACACCGTCTTTCAAGAACAAATACAAAGGGGGAAGAGCAGCTATAGCCAATTTTGAACCTAGGTATCTATTTACAGCTTAATTAGATTTGGGTGGCAGGGACTGGACCATCCTCAGGGAGGCCTGGGGCAACAAACACCTGCATCTGTGAATCCCTCTACTGGGGTCTCTGAGAAAAGATCTGGTGCATACAGGGCAATTAGCCAGTTAACAGGGTATTCTAGAATAATAAAAATCAGCTACAGCTAAGGCAGTGGCAGCTTTTTGATGACAGTGGTTTAGGGTGAGCCACTGATGTCACCTTGGGTGTCACATTGACAAAGGTGACACGCTTTTCTGTCAGTCCCCTTTGTGCCCTTACCATGTTAAAGCACTACAGGAAAGCTCAGATCAGATACAAGAAACACCTTCTGAGACCCCAACCTAAGTCCTAAAAGCATGGCTCAGAGCACACAGCATCTTTATGGGGCACCTGCCAGGGGGCAGCTCCAAGGAGCGACCTTTCCATGTGTGTGCCCACGAGAAGCCTGCTCACGCCAGACGCATCCTTTGAAAATGCATCTTGGCATTTCTCCTTAGGGGCTGTGCGGTCCAAGCAGCAGTGGTGCTGAGATCTGTGTTGAATATTTACCTTGCGGATCTTGTTTGTAAATGTCTCTGTCTCCTCCTGGTGCAGTCTGGCCGCCTGTGCAAGCTGACCCTGGAGCTCCTCTATCGATACACTCTGCTCAGGTAAAACAGGGGGGCCCCTGAGCTGATCGGTGGGATAAAGGAAGGGGTTTAGTGGAAACAAGACCTCTGCCTGAGGTGACAACGCAGGACAGACATCTCACAAGCTGGGGACACACATGGAGCGACACGGCACGTACGAGGGTCTGCAGCAGTGGAGTGACGGCGGCGACTCCCCTGGGCCTTCCCACGGGTGGCTGGCCCCGAGCCCTGCGCCTGGGCTCCACGGCAGCTCCCTGCCTGCGTCTCACCCAGGGGGCAAGGTGGGCAAATGGGCGTCTAGCCCCTTGAATTTCAATCACCAGGAAAATAGAACCAGGAACCAGACCGAGGGAAGGAAGCCAGGGCACCAGAGGTGTCCTTGTTACTACAACAGCTTCTAGATGGTTCTGACACATGCTGGGAGTGGTGAGAGCTCAGCAGTTAGGACTGAGGCAAGACTCTCAGATTCTCCAAGTCATGCGGGGTCTAAGTTGCATAATTAATTTTGTCCTGTGCTTTCTTATTAGTTTTTTCCTGTTCAACTGAGAGGGTGTCTTTCTTTCTGTTATCCACTTCTGACCCTGGACGCTCAGGGCAGGGGGAGGGGCCCTTTAATTAGCCTAGACCTGTGACTTCAGCAAATGTCACCAGAGGGGACTTGAACAAAGATCTGCGCATTACTCTTCAGGTTGAAAATAGGTAACTGACTCTTCATTATGATTTTTTTTTAATAAACTCTACCTTTTATGTCCAATAAAGGACAATGACAGGAGGAATCAGAGTCACTACTCTTGAAATAAAATGTACTCGTCAGAGATGGAAACATCATCAAACTAAAAATTCCAGACATTGCTAACGTTTTAAGTGTGTCATTTTATCCACTGGCTTATGCTACTTGAAGATGGTGATTTACAAAATTGGGAATTCAAGTGAATTATTGCAATAAAAATCTGTCACTTTACGGGTTCATTCTGATTCCTTTTACAATGAATCTATTACTACTCAGAGGACATTGTTTGCTCCCCTAATCTGTGTTGTCATGAGTGACAATCATCCCTTAAAAATAGGAAATGCAGAAAATTAAAGAGCAGAGCACTTCCTGTAGCACAGGGATGAAAGGGAGAGCAGCGGGAGGGGGAAGCAGGGCAAAGCAGATGGAGACAGAGCATCAGAGCCAACTTCAGCATCAAATGTGAAAGCCAGAGATTTAAACTTAGCCTACTTTATGGGCATTTTTATTTGCTAAGAAGAGGTTATTATCATAGTCTTGTATATGTATTAGGCAGCACTTGGGGGTCTTTTTGAAAAGAGGTAGTTTTCAACCTGAGAATTTACTTCAGTAAATTACCAATCCTTCCTGCCCGCTAGCTCTATTATTTTCCAAGTGTGCCAGTCTTTTACAATCTCACATTTGCCTGCCTTCAGCAATCTTGAACATGCACCTTTTACACATCTAATCATCTGAAGATCTTGGTGAATCCTGCTGTTTGCAGGTCTGCTGGCTCTTGTTCTTGGTGGATATTCCTGGCTTGTTTGAAGTTGTGTGTTGTGAGTTTGTGATAGGTAGATTACACATGTGATCTGGGTTGAGAATGTGCCCTCCAGGTTGTTTCATGAAGTATATAACATAAACCCCTTTCCTTGGGGATGACTGGACCCAATGAGTGATACCAATTCAAAGCCCGATCCCGGGTGAGGGTTGGCTGCAATCCTGCTCTTGGCCTAGAGCCACATTGGTAGACAGGTATCCTCACTGCCTCCCTTCCCTGCCCTGGGACCAGCAGGCAGAAGTTCCTCCTGTTTGTTAATTCCTTTCCCTGCAGGTGTTGAGCCTTGTCTCCTAGTCCTCTGGAGCTACTGCAATCCTGGCTTCTAACTCCAGCCATGATCCCTCATCTACCCGCCTAAAGGCTTCAGATAATGCTCTGGTCTTCAATTCTGAAATCAATTCCAACCCTTTAATATTTCCCTAACTCTCTTGAGAATTCATCTAAAAAGTTTAAAGGATGCGTTACATTTTATGCAGCATTTTGTTCGATAAGTATTTACTGAGTACCTACAATGCTAAGCAGGGCCCAAAGCCCTAGGGATAAGGCAGTAAGTGCAGCAGCCAGCTCTGCCCACAGGGTGCTTCCGCCAGCCCCTCAGGAGCTCTGTACAGGTGTGTCTGCAGGTCACTCAGCCTGCCTGTTGCCAGCTTTACTTCCCGATTATATAGTACTTTATACATTCAGAATGTAAAATTCCTATTTTAATATCTTAGGTATTAGCCAAAAGCTTTATATTACTAGATATTAAAAGAGCCATCCTAATTAAGCCTGTCATCTAAGAAAAGCAAAGATCTATTTAATTTCTATACACTACATCAAACTATTTACTTTGGGTTTAGTCTTAATAATATATAAACCATTTTAAATACAGTAGACCCTCTGTAAGTTGACTACCCAAGGGACTGTAACAAACTGATCAACATACAGAGGTGGTCAACATAAGGAACCAGGCCTGCAGCACTGGGGTACTGGCACGTACATGTGGTGCATGTCCCGTCTATGAAAACTGGGTCGACTTAAGAAGGTGGTCAGTATAGGGAGGTGGCCAGCTATGGAGTTTCTACTGTATACAAGCCTCATACTTCAGCATTGTTTGATTCGAAACGTGCTCTTCTATCTGAACCATACCTTTGAAGGGACACAGAAAAAAGGTCCCTTCATCCATATAGCACCTCAAGGTCCTATAAGGATGTTCACTTGGGACATCTGATTTACCTAAGACGACTGCAGCATCTCCTGTGTATGTTGCTGCCACCTGGTCGACAGCAGAAACTTTTAGATATCCCTACTCTGGCAGAAGTTCCCTTCTCCTTTATCATCTGTTTTTGCAAATGAAATATTAAAACTCCCACAGACAACTGATCCTAGCCGGGATGCCACTGTCACTCCAGTGTTACAGAGAATAAAAAACAAACATGCTATGACAAAAGTTTCAGTCCAGAATTATTCTACTGCCACACAACTACATACAATCACATACATTTGGAGAAAATGTTTACATGACACATAGATTTACTCTAGAAAAATAAGGACTTCCCCTCATCATCTGCTCCCCAAAAATTTGATTCTAAAAACCATCCTTTGCTCACTTCCCTAAGATTCTGATTATTCATCAAACAAATGCATCTTGATCTCCCTACTAAGACCATTTATTTAAATGAATGCCATCCTCACTTGTTTCTGAGGCTGCTGAGACTCAACATCACGACCACCCTCCCCCATGTCAGTGTTCTGAGGCTGCGTCCCACTCATGCTCATTTACACTGCTAGTTTCCTGAACCTCTCCAGAGAAAGGCTTATAAATTACCTTCCACACTTAAGACTATTTCACTATTTCAATAAACAACAGGAAGAATGCTTTTCCTTGCTGTCACTAGACTGTCTCACAGTGCCACTTACACATTAGCACCCTCTGTAACCTCCATTCCCATGACTTCATTTTCTGGTGAGTTCCATTTTTGTCCTGACAAGTTTTGCTACCACCTCTTTCAGAAGTGGCATACGAGGGTAACACGTGTACAAATACTTGGCACAAATCCCATGTAATTTTATAGCAGTTGGTATTTCATGGCTGAAGCGTGAGGGATGACAAATGCTTTGTGTACGCCTTTGATTAAAGGATAAGAGGGAGAGCTAAGGAGAAAAGCCCTGAGATTTCTGACCCAGAAATTCAATCCTCTAGGCCAGGCTTGTTCTCATTTACACGTGAAATCTAACCAGTGCCCAGGATTAGCTACTTCTCATTCAGAACTATTTTTAAGGTTCCCAGCACATTCCAAAGTATACCCTATACACTGCTGTCTCCTCATGAAGCAAATCTCTCTGCAGATTTTATGAGAGCCTCATATAATGGTGTACTTACAATGGTGACCCACAATTTATTAATCCATTCGTAGGTCAACGGGCATTTGGGCTTCTTCCATGACTTAGCAATTATGAATTAGGCTGCAATAAACATTCTGGTACAAATATCTTTGTTATAATGTGATTTTTGGTCCTCCGGACATACACCTAGTAGAGGAAATTGTAGGATGGAATGGCAGGTCTATTTTTAGATCTCTAAGTGTTCTCCAAACATCTTTCCAAAAGGAACACACTAGTTTGCATTCCCACTAGCAGTGCAGAAGTGTTCCCTTTTCTCCACATCCACGCCAACATCTCTGGTTTTGGGATTTTGTGATGTAGGCCAATCTTACTGGTGTTAGATGGTATCTCACAGTAGTTTTCATTTGCATTCCTCTGATGATTAAGGATGATGAGCATTTTTTCATATGTCTGTAGGCCATGCACATGTCTTCTTTAGAGAAGTTTCTCTTCAAGTCCCTTGCCCACCCTGAGATGGGATCACTTGTTCTTTTCTTGCTAATACATGTGAGTTCTCTGTGGATTCTGGTTATTAAACCTTTTTCAGAGACATAACCTGAAAATATCTTCTCCCATTCTGAGGGCTGTCTGCTTGCTTTACTTACTGTGTTCTATATGTACACCATGGAATATTATGCAGCCTTAAAGAAAGATGGAGACTTTACCTCTTACATGTTTACATGGATGGAGCTGGAACATATTCTTCTTAGCAAAGTATCTCAAGAATGGAAGAAAAAGTATCCAGTGTACTCAGCCCTACCATGAAACCAATTTATAGCTTTCTTATGAAAGCTATAACCCAATTGTAGCCCAAGAAAAAAAAGGGGGAAAGGGGAGAGGAAGGGAAGGAGAGGGGAAGGAGGGGTGGAGGCAGGGTAATTGGTGGGATCACACCTACAGTGCATCTTACAAGGGTACCTGTGAAATTTACTAGGTGTAGAATATAAATGTCTAAACACAATAACTAAGAAAATGCTGTGAAAGCTATGTTAACCAGTTTGATGAAAATATTTCAAATTGTATATAAAATCAGCACATTGCACCCTATGATTACATTAATGTACACAGCTATGATTTAATTAAAAAAAAAAAAGAATCCAATTACCTGGCTAATGTCTACTGAGATGAGTAGGCAAAAGGAATATTTGTCCTTTTCAAGTCTGGGGGTTGTCTGGGACTTAATTTTTGTTTGATTGCATTAATGAGTTAGTGGGCATGAGTGAGTTCTGACTGCAGTTTGAGCTGGCTGTGGCTGTAAGAATGCCAGGCTCAGAGATGCAATTCCTGTCAGAGGTTCAGCCAAGGGTGGCATCTGAGCAGCAGGCCTCCTGCACTGCACAGATCTGCTATCTGCTGGAAATACTTGATGCATAAGAAGATAGTCCTTTTCCTCTTCTTGTTGTTACTGCTGCTGCTGTTACTGCTTAGTGGTCACGGTTTTAACCTAGCTAAAATACTCCAGTCTTCGAAAATAACAACTTATCTTCTTTCCCCTTGCCCCAAATAAAAATCCATTAAGGAAAAACAAAACAAAACAAAACAAAACCACAGAGGCATTTTATAAATGCAGCTTGAGAACCTGATTCTTTTATAAAACTTCTGTCTAAATTCAGAAAGCTTTTTCTTCTTTGATGCCTCTGATACTGGGTGTCCTATTACCTATGGGGAGCTACAGGCACAGGCTCAAGGAGAGTCGCCCATGTGGCAGTGGCTGGCCTGAGGACACAGTCAGTGCTTACTGGAAGGGCAATGTAAGAGGGAGCAAAGTGCCAGAGATCCAACCGCTCCATCCTTGGCAGTGCCCATGTTTGCCTTTGCCCCAGGTATCCAGCGGGGTCTGCGTGAGTCTTCAACATGGCGCAGTCGTGGCCACGCTGCCTCGGGGAGCTTTGTGTGCTGTTTCCAGCACAGCCTCAGACAAAGCAGCTGCTGACAGTGAGTTCAGGGCTGTTCAGGCTCTCAAGAGTTCTGCTCCCCAGAATTGTCCATTGTGTAATTCTTTAACACAATGCAATATTCAGAGGTCAAAGCAATGAGGCTGTCAGAGTGACATCCACACCAGGGACCAGGCTCCACAAGCATCGCCTCTAATGGAGGTGTCAAAGTGGCTCCAGAAGGGTTTATTTTTGTTGTTGTTTTAATTTAGAGTAGAATGTTTGAGGCATAACTGAGTTTTCTCTTGTCTCTGTGTGAAATGCTTTTGTGAATGAACACATCAGAACAAAGGATGCTTAACTCCTGATCAGCACTATCTCCCCTACTAGGAAATGATGCTCCCTAGATCGGGCCTTTTGCTATTGAGTTTCTTTTTTCTTACTTTCTTCTTAAAACATATAAAATTAAAGAAAATTGGACAAATGTTTGAAAGAACCATGGCAAGACAGGTGGCCATATAATGAGTCACCGCGTGACAGTGTTTAGTTTTTAGGAACACACGGCGGACAGTGGTGAGGTCAGCACTGGGCACTCTCTGCCGCTGAGGGGCCTCGGCCCTCATGGGACATGGGCAGGCACAGAGGCCTGAAGCAGGTTCCAGTTCTGCCAACAGCCAAGTGGGGGGCTGATCAGTAAGCCACTTCACTCCCTAGCCCTCATTCTCTCTCATGCTCAGAACGAGAACACTGGTCTGAGGATCGGCCATTCCCTCCTTAGCTATAATTGTTCTGTGATTCTTTATTGCCATGTGGCCCCAACTATGTCTGGTAATGCACCTCTTATAAGAGGTTTACTGTCCCTCAATATTCAGTTTGATTCAACTAAGTATTTTTCTCTCAAAGTCACTGGCCATTCCTGAAGCTATGTGCTGCATTCATGCTGTGGCAACTTGTCAGTGCTCTAGTTAACAAGGACCTAGGAAGAGGCTGGGAGGAGACAAGCTCTATGACACCAAGTTTAATGAAACAAGGTTTTGTGTGACATGTTTTGAATGATGGAGCCCCTGGAAGGGAGACATGGTTCTTATAAAACAGGCCATCAAAGGGAAGACAGCTGCCTTGTACAGCCAGAGTTGTGGTTCTGGAAAACTGTCAGTGGCAAATAAGAAAGGGCTACAAGGGGTTGGTACCATGTCTAGGAAGCTCTGAATGCCTTCCTTCCTGCAGTCCTCCCTGGTAGGATGTGCTGCCTTCTGTTATTCATCATGCCTTACATGGATGCAGCATGTGGCATTTTTGGAAGGTATTTTCTCACTAACAGCTCCTTTAGTCTGAGACTCATCCACTTATAGCCCCTGAGGCAGGAAGGGCAGTATTGTTGCTCCCATTTTACAGATGAGAAAACAGGCTCAGAGACTTGCCTGCAAAATCAAGCTACTGATGGACACAGATGGACTAGAGCCCAGGGGCCTTAGTGCCCTGGCCAGTTTGGATACCAGGGCAGGACAGCATCCCTGTTACAACTATCTTAGCAGTGCAGTGTCATTTGAAGGCTGAGAAAGGTGTCTTCCAGAGGGTGCCATCCTGGAAATGGATCACTCAGGCCATGGAGATGTAGCGTGGTGAGCTTGCTAATGCCTTTGCAACCAGCATTCTCCACGGAAAACCCTGTGGAGCTGAGGCCAACCAAGGTGCTTCCCAGGAAGGTTGAGAGTCCTAAAGCACTACCTCACTGCATTTGGAGGGGAAATGGAAATTTTGCAAATACTGGCCTGTTCTGTGCTACACTGGGGATAAAACCTCGGGATGTCTCCTTTGCGATTTTGGAAAAACAGGCTGAACTTGACACACTGTAACACATGTCTGACTCCAAGTCCAAAGACAGTCTTCTTTTCTATTTAAGCTTAGCTGAGGTGGTGGTCCTGTTGGTGTGTGTGGTGAGCGCCCAGTCACAGGGGTAGAGATGTGGCACACTGTCCTGAGGGCAATGGAAGGGGCCTCACACTAGAGACACCTGAACTCCTCTGGGTGAGGCTGCAGCCCTTCTGCCCCTGTCTCTGACAACAGGCAGGGCACAGCAGCTCCAGCTCTGCTCCACTCCACATTTCTGCTCACTTCCTTTCTACCCAGGGAAAGGCTTTTGACTGTCTGAGCCCTGCCTGCTCTCAGCCTGCAGTCCCTTCCTCGCCCGGGCCTCGGTGCTAACGTCCCCACAGGGACCAAGAAGTTGAGCCACTTTGTCAGCATCTTGGAGAAGTTACTGTTCTTCTCTAATGAAGAATACATTGCTCTAGCCCTTGAATAGTAGGGGCAGCACAAGGACGTCCTCCCTCCGAGCACCCATCCTTCTGTCCTGTAAGGATGGCTTGTGGCTGAGAGCTTTTGCTCTTACAGGGCAGCTGACAACCATTTCAACCATGCAGGTCCCTGTGGGGGCTGCAGTCCTGTGCATATAAGGTTACCATGGCAACAGAGACTATGGCAGATACTACAGTCGGAAACCCCTGAGGTTGGCCAGATTCTGCCAACAGACCAGAGCAGAGTCACAAGAGATCATGGGAGGCTCACCGGAGACGAACTAAAAGAGGAAACCCTAAGGAGAGTTTCCTCCAACTAGGAAAGACGGTGCCTGCTTTCCATTCCTACTTTCTCTACTTTTGGACAGGAAGCCACTGCACACTCCCTAATGAGTCCCACCTCCAGATGTCCCCGGGGCCTGGGAAAACAGTGCTTGCCACGACTATCACTCCTGCCGGACAAGCAAGGGTGGTAGTTTGCCCACATGCAACGATACAGACCCTCCAGTTTCATGCAATGGGTCGTGATGCCAGGTAAGTTCCACATCCTCCTGCCACATTCCTTCAGGGCCTTGTCCCAGGTGGGACACTTCACACAGCCAGTCACACAGCAGAAGGGGGGGTGGGTCTGGGGCCCCACTGACCTCCAGAGTGAAGCAGCTCTGGCCTCCCAGCCCGTGGCTCCCAGAGTCCCCATCAGCGCGACGGTGCAGCTCCCTTGCAGCTTGAAGACGCAGACTGTCCCGCTCGTCCCCCCGGGCTGGACCAAGCTGCCACTCCAGCTGCTCTCTCAGCCTGGACTGTGAGGTGCATGGGAGGGATTTGTTTTTATTATTATTATTATTATTGAAAACATAAAACAAAGGACAAAAGGGTGGGAAGGGCAGATAAAGAAACAAAATACAGGTAAGGGATACACAACTAAAAATAGCACCAGAGGAAGAAACGTGTGACTGGGAATGGCAACTTAGTGACAGGGCGTAAGAGACTGAGGAGAACAGAGCAGAGACGAGCCGGGACGGTAAGCGGACACATCCGGAAAGCACACAGAGGGGAAGAGTGCAAGACACCGGTCATGAGGCACATGCGATGGGGTGCGTGAACCCCAACTCGACTGCAAGCACACTACCCGGGAAACAGAGGACAAGGCTCCTTCTTCCTTACTTGTGGGTCGAGCAGCAAAAGCCACAATCCGGGCGGCAGCTGGGCCATGCACCCAAGGCGAGGCCACTCCACCCGGCCGCACCCTCTGCTGGGCAGCGAGATTCTCCGTGAGACACATCCTCCTCTCAGAACCGGCTCCTCGCCCCTGGGGGCCTGTCCTTCAGCCGGAGGCGGCCCAGGCTGCCTAGGGCCTCGGACCGCACCGTGTCCCTTTGGTAACGAATCCAAGTAGGGATTCGCTCGCTGGGTAGCAAGTCTGCTAATTATCCTGACTGAGACATGAGTTTGTACTTGGTCTTAAGCTCCTCATTGCTTCTTCACCGGGCAGCTGGTTGTCTGAGACACCAAGGAAGGAGCGAGGCTGGCCAGGACGAGCCCTAGAGCCTCCACTGGGCTTGGCCTCGTGTCTGAGAGGGCCTCTACGCCACAGCCGCAGCGCGGGGGGAAGTGAGAGAGGAAGAGGAAAAGAAACTAGGAAATAAAAGAGAACTTAAAAAAACCAAAAGGGAACCCAACCGAGAGAGAGGATCTGGTTGACCCTCGAGGCTTTAGTACAATGCAGGTTTGAAATCATAACCAAGCAGCCGTGAGCAGCGTGAGCCCGAGCGCAGCAATGCCAGCCAGGAGCAGGAAGAGCAGGGCGGAGCAGGGAGGCGAGGCCAGGAGCCCCCTTACCTGCAGGTCTGGACCCAGCTCCTTCCCCAGGTTCCCGACGGGGGAGTCCCGGGACACGGAGGTCACGGTGGAGAGGAAGCTGGAGGACTCCGTGAGGTGGGACACAGGGGACAGCCCGTCCCCCAGCCGGTTCACCTGCTCCAGGAAGGCCTGCAGCTCCTTCCTGAAGGCCTTCATCTTGGTGCTGATGGTCCCCAGCAGGTGGGGCTCGTGCCGGGCACCCTCGCCCTGGACGCCGGGTTCCAGCGCAGCCCCCGCGTCGCGGAGGAAGCCCTCAGTGTCTGTGAGGAGCCGCTCCACGGTCCGCTCCAGCCGCTGCACCTCGTGCTTTATGGCCGCCAGACACTCGGCGTCCTCCCGGGCCCGCAGGAGCTCCGCCGGGCACTGCTCGCTGGCCTCCGACGGTTTCCCGCTGCCGAAGCCCGACGTCTTCTCGAAGGTATCCTCGGAGTCGCTCTCCCCGCCCACAGGGCCCTCCCTCCGGGGCTGCGGCGGGCGGCCCTCCTCTCCGTCGCTCTCCTTCTTGCCCGCGTCGCTCTCCGCGTCGCTGTCCCGCGGGCTTGTGGCGCGCGGCCCCACGTGCATGGCCAGGTCGCAGCGCTGGACGTTGGACAGCAGCACCCGGTTCTCGTGCTGCAGCTTCAGCACCTTCCCACTCAACTCACTGATTTGCAGCCGGGCTGATTTCAGCTCCTCCTGCAGGGGCGTCCCTGTCCCAGCGCCCTTGCCCGTGCTCTCCGCGGGCCACCCGGGCTCCTGGCGAGGCTCAAACTTGAACTTGCTCAGCTCATGTGTCAGCTGCCGGTTGTGGTCCTCAATCTCAGATATGGACCTGCGGAGCAGCTCCGCTTCCTCCTCCACAAACTGCAGGTGGCGGCGGAGCTCCGCGGAGGACTCCACCGAGTCCCCGAAGGGTGAGGTAGGGAGGCTCGGTGGGTGGTCCCGGCCCAGGCCCTCTCGCTGCTCGTGCTGGCCCCGCACGTCCTCCATCTCCGCTTTGAGGCCGCGGTTCTCCACCTCCAGCTCCACGATCTTCCGGCCCAAGATGTTGGCTTCCTCCTCCACCAGCTTCAGCCGCAGCTTCAGTTCTGCCTCCCGGGTGCTGGGGGGCCCTCCCGCTTCCCCTGTGGGGAGGGGGCTGTCCACGTCGCCATAGAGGGACTTGTACTTCTGGAGCTCCTGCTCCAGCGCGTCCTTCTCCCGTCCCAACTTGGCCATCTTCTTGCGCATCAGGGAGGCTTCCTCTTTGGCAAATTGAAGTTGGCACTTCAAATCGGCACTGTCATCCTGCCAGGAGAGAACAGCCGAGAGAAGGGTTATTTGGAAATACCACATGTTCGTGTTTTTGACGATTCCCCTCGCACCTCGCCCCCAGTACACACGCAAACACAAAACACCCATCTTTCTGTCGGTGCCATTTCATTACATGGAAAGAGAGAGACAACCAGAGGTGAGGGAGGAACCTGGGAAAGGCCTGAAGCTTGCTGCTTTATCCCAGGGGCAAAAGGAACCTAGACGCTGCTTTGGTAAACGATGTGTACCTGAACCATCATAGGAGCTACGAGAGAGGAAGGAGAGAATCAAAGGAAACCTAATAACCACCCAGAGCACGCGGCCCTTTGGCACTTCTGGATCCATCAGGTTGTGTCACAGCACCAGTGAGAGGACCCAGAAGCCCTCACTGGAGTCTGGCTTAGGCAAGTAAAACTGAGGGGCACTTCCACCCTGCTGCACCCACTTTCTCATCCAAAGTGGCTGGTGACCCACAGGTTATTACCAGTATGCAGGGGGCAGGTGACCCCAAATCAGAGCCCAGCTTTGCTTGACTTGCTGAGGAATGTGAGACAGGGTGATTTGCCTCTTTCCTAGTCTCTCAGGAGATGCTATGTGATGTCCCACAAGAATGACATGATGATGAGAAACTGAGGTGAAGAGCAGGAGGGTGCTCAGAAGTCCTTGCTGAGCCGATGCCCAGCTCTGAGGGCTGGTATACGGTGGCTGCTCACCACCTTTCACCAAGCCAGGCCAAGGATTAAAGCAGTCAGAGTCATGGCTTATGTTTCCTTCTGTTTAGTTACTGTAACGTCACAGGAAATTAAACTCAGGAGACTCCTGGCAAGGAGTCAAGTGGATAGAATCAAGTGTTCTAAACCTGAGGAGTGGTCCTCATCCAACACCAGAGGGGAGACCAGAGGGCTCTGGAGGGTTCCTGGAGCTGACTCTGCTGCTCACAGCCCACACTGATTGGCTGGGGTCAAAAGGCACTTTTGGGAACAACTGGAGGGTCAACTCTGTTTTGCCAGTGGTGATCTCCATGCTTTGAAGTTGTACGAAAGCTCCATCTTGGTCTTTTAAAAATGTTCTGCTGTTTACACTTAGGGAATAGGAAGAATGACCATTTCACTAATCACGCCTCTTTGACTGAAGATCAGAAGTTCCAGAAAGTTTCATCCAAGGGTCCCCTATCACATAAAAGAACTATCGACCACAGGTCTGCAGGAGTCAAACCTCACCAGCCTTGGCAGGGGTGAAGGGAGACCCATGGGACTGCTCTCCAGGCCCGATAAGCATGCTCGGGAACAAGTCAGCCCCCTGAGAGAGAATCAGTACTTGCACATCAGCGTTTGTGCTCACGATGCAGCTTTTACACTCAGAGAACATAGCTCTTCCTGCCATATTCTTGTCCAGCACTCACCACATCGTAGGAAAATACAGAAATTCCTCCCTCAGGGCCTCCTGGCTTTCCTTCCCATCCTGCCTTAACCCCTCCTTTCTTACCATGAACTCCATGTAAGAAGGAAAAAATGATGTGACAAAGAAGACTCAAGAAAGACCCATGGCTAAGGTGTAGCAGGGCCACATGGGAAGCATGTTCTGGCACTATCTGTGGTGCCCTGGAAGGGAGAACGTACCCATCGTCATCCTCCTGGCCAAGGATTAAAGCAGTCCCACTGGACTGGGGGTCAAAAATGCTGCCCTAAGTCCTCTCTTTGGGGAACCTGTCTCTTTTCATGACCAGCAGGATGCTCACCCAACCACAAAGTCATTGTGAAGGTCAAATAAAATAATGTACAGGGAAGTGGTCTGCATGTGATAAATTACCATAATCTAGCTCTCTGAAATTCACTTGGTCTGCATCTGATAAATTACCATAATCTAGCTCTCTAAAATTCACTTTGTTATTCATCTGAACCACAGTTAATATTGAAGAAGGGAGCCAGTAACTCTGTTTTTGTTTTTTCCCTCTTTGTGCATTAGGAGAATAATATATGTGTCACTTGGTCTCCAAGAGTTCTAAGACCTTATCACATTAAGGATTTGATTTAGTTTTGGTTAGGCAGACATAAAAACCATTTCTGTTACTAACTCAAAACAAGGTTATCTGCCCTACTCAACTACTGATCAAACTGGTTATCATCACTGCTGAGGAAATTATGGTTTTTAAAAAATTGCCTACATAAGACTACATATTAGACACATATATGACATACATTATGTTTAATCCTAAACGCTAAAGGAAAAGCATGCTTGTTTATTTGTTCATTGATT